TGGCTTATACTTCACCTTGAAGTTATACTTCGCAAGGAAAGATAGCCATCTAGCCATTCTCTGCGAGAGGTGGTGTGACTGAGTCACAGTGCGAAATGACGCATTCTCAGTGTAGATCACAAACGGCTTGGAGCCATGTAGGTGGACCCTGAACTTGACAAGCTCATACTTCATCGCAAGTAGCTCCTGGTCATGAACTGGGTAGTTCTTCTGTGCAACTTTGAGCTATCGAGATTCGCACGCGAACACCCGATCTCGCCCCTCGGCGTCTGCTTGCAGCAGTGCACAGCCGATGGCGAAGTCCGAAGCGTCAAAGACGACGCTGAAAGGACGATCAGGGCTGGCAGCGCCATTATTGGTGCATGCAGAAGGCTGTCTTTGACCCCGTCAAAAGCCTCCTAATATTCGGTGTTCCAACACCATTCCGCATTCTTTTTAAGGAGGTTGGATAATGGCTGCGCCATTTCTGCGTAATTTACGCTGTACTTGTGCAAGTAGTTGTCGAAACCAAGCCACTTACGCAAGTCCTTCTCGTTCTTTGGAACCGGCCAATTTACAATGGCCTTGACCTCAGCGGAATCCGCTCGGAGGTCACGCTTCCCAATAAAGCACCCTAAAAAGGGAATCTCTTCTGCGCCAGAGATGCACTTGTCTGTATTGGCGTACAGTATGTTAGTGCGCATGCACTCGAGCTCTCTTAGATCGACGATGTCGTTCTCCTTATCCGTCCTCCATGCTCCGCGCAACTTTGAGCGAAAATGTCGTCAAAGTATGTCTCTGCATACGCCCTGTGGGGCCTCAACAACTGCGTCACAAGACGATTAAATGTTGCTGGTGCATATGACAGCCCTTCGGACATCAACAGCCACTCCCAGAGCATGCCGCTCGAAGTGCTTATCGCTGTCAGCGGAATGTCACTCGCTCTCATGAGCAATTGGTAGTATCCATCTACAAAATCGAGTGCACTGTACTTTGTACGCCCCACCATGTTGTTCTGAAGAACATCCGGAATCGGCGTATGTGCCGGAATGGTGGCAGCGTTAAGCTTATTGTATGCATAAACGATACGCCACTTGCTGTTCGGCTTCCGAACGCAAAACGTGGGTGTCGAAAGGGGAGACTTGCTCTCACGTACCATCCCTGCGTCGTGCTTCGCACGGGAAAAAGGCGTCAATGACGTCACACTGCTCCTTGGGCAGGGGCCATTGGCGTGTTACGCAAGATTTGGTTCCCGGAACCAGGTCGATCTCATGACGCACACCTCGGTCCGGAGGTAGGACTGAAGGCGGGTCTTTGGAGACTACCTCTTGCAATATTTTACCAAAGGATGGTACGGATCCAAGGGTTTCCTTAGGATTGACGATCCACTTCGTGCGTGCAGCACTCTCTTGGTGTCCTCCAAGATAGCTTCATCCAGAAGCGATGACGAGTTTATCTCCTCGTCCGGTCGTACAACGACCACTTCGACCAAATCGCCTGCCTTGAAGGCACTGCCGAACTTTTCAAGGGACATCTCGTCCGGGTCAAGAAGAGCATCTACTGCAGGCATCGCTTCGAGGCGGACGTCGCCATCTTTCTCCCCCGTCATACCGTTGACGATGGTGTATAACTGTGCACCGTCGTCTACAGTAGACACACCCTGGATCAGGGTCGACACCTGGCGTCTTGCAGCCAGCATACGGCATCGCCGTCGCCTCTGTACAGCGGTTCTATGTCTCGGTGAGACCAGGATGAGCACGCACTCCGCGTCTTCCGGTGTCACCCTCACTTTCCGCTCCTTTGGAGCTCCGATGTTATCTTCAACATCCGACGAAGAA